ACACTGAGGTTGGAGTTCGAATCCCGCACGTGAAATGTGTACTCGACTCCAATCTTAATTGACTTGGATTGTCAGTTTTCCTACCGAAGGTCGGTGGTTCTCTCCGGGCACTCCGGCTTCCTCCGCCAATAAAAACTGACCACCACGAAATAGCACAATAATGTTGAAAGGGGCGATAAACACCAATCAATCAATAAATCAATCATTCACTACAAAACCTTTGCAAATCAAATATGTACTGGACATTTTCAAATCTTTACTGTAATCAACATAATATAGAGGACTTTGCCGCACCACCCTGTTTGCAAAATTCAGTAGAAGTATGGTTATATGTGCTTTTGTTATTGTTTTGTTTTGTTTCCAAACAACATTTGGTTAATTTGAACGACAACTGAACAAATAACATCACTGACAATAACATGATGTAAACCTCAGATTTACTGGCTCACAGAATAACTTTGTATTTACTTTTATCCAATAAAATACAATTATTTGCTCATATATCAACTACCAATTGTGTTTTGATGACTTGTAACGAGAACTACGATTTAATTAAATAACAAAAAACAAATAAAATTCGTAATGAAACTTGAAAAGTACATAATCATCAAAAAATGATACTATAAAATAATCACCCATTGCATAGCAAAGGTAATTTAACTTGCACTTTAGGGTTCATGCAAATATTTAATGGATATCAATATGAAAATTATTTCAAGGTGTTCAGATTGTTATAACCGATGTACATATACGCGTTTGAGTTGCTTTTAAGTACATTGTCCCATATTACAATAGTGCAATCACTAAGTAGCTTTGAGTTTCACGTTTACAGTTCACTGAAGTGACTTCGTAAGCGGTGACATAGCTTGTGAAACATTTATACTTTAATCAAAGTAGGTTTTAATCTTTTTGATTTAACCTACATTTGTTGTACACTATACTATACGCAAATTTAAAGTAAATGGTAAAAGCCTTAAGTAAAGTTACCATAAAATAGTGTTATATACGATCACTTTTTAATATGCTCGTTGTATTGCGATAAATTTTCGCATTTTATCAGCCTTTCCCTTGCATGCATCACCATGCCCAACTTTTCATAAAAGCCATAGATGCAATGTGAAGATTTTGGGCACGTTAACTGTGCACAATAGCCAAACATGCATTTTATTTGAACTCACATCTGTTTGAAATGCAGAAAACCTGATTATCGGTAGTTGTCGCCATGCAAGTAAGCTCGTCTTTTCTGAATGAGTTTAAACATTTATCTGACATGTCGGTCTATGACTGTAGAGGAACATTATGTTATTTTCTGGTATGTGCGATCTGCTGTAAGTCCGTGTGTCCTGATCAAGTAACAATTTTGGTTAAAGGTAGTTTGGGGTCCCAAAAGCGTGAAACCTAGTACACATCTTCACTTTGATGATGATATGGGTGCGTTTAACGACATTAACTGCTTATACAGGCCTCGCACGGTCAATAAACTGTTTAATAGTTATGCCAAGTTAAGGTTTTGTCTCTTGAGTTAACGGTTCACTGAACATAGAAATGTATTAGTGCGAACGAGTTCTGGTGTCATATTGTCATATAACACTGAGCCGTTATCATTGCTGGTGGACAGTAAGTCCCCCAGGGTGTCATAAACTCAGAGGTCAGTGCTTCGGTACTGACATATTCTTTAACAAACTTTTCTTGAATTCTTCTTTGATACATTTAGAAATATTAAGAAATTAAGGTTCAAACTCCCTCAAGAAAAGTTGACCTTAGAGGAATTTGGCTATTTTTATTTCCCTTTTATCATATAGCTCAAGCGTTCCTGACGAAGGTTAATCCAGGAAAGCGCTTCGGACGCACGAAATTAATAAAGTGGTATTTTTATTTACTAGCATTGGGTCGATACCACAACAGGGCCCGGTTGTTCAACTTGTCGTTAACTTAACGTAAGCGTTAAATTTAACATGTCGTTAAATACTCTAACGTGTCGTTACTTAACCCATGGTTAAAATGGTGTTGTTCAACTTGGTTTAACGCCGTCGTTAGTTAACGATGACGTTAAATATTTTAACCCCTCGTTAAATATTTAACTAAAGTTTAGAGATTATTTTTGTTACCCACAATGCATTGGTTTGTTAATATTTATTTCAACATGGCTGACATTTCTTCTGCTAAAAAACAAAGGGACAGAAAACCTAACTTCACTCAAGAAGAAGTAAATGTTATACAAGATCAAGTACAAAAAAATTACAAAGTGTTAAATGAAAAGTTTGGGGATGGAGTTACCAATTCTAGAAAGACTGCTGTCTGGAGCAGGATTTCTATCTTGGTCAGTGCTCTGGGTGTTGCCAACAGGTCTACCAAAGACTGTAAAGACAAGTGGGCTAACACCAAGAAGGAGGCTAAAAAGGTGTTTGGCCAACTGAACAAAGAGCAGAGGGCTACTGGTGGTGGTCCACAGCCAAAAAGATTGAGTCTGGCCATAGAAAGGACAATAGACCTTTGCAAAGACTCGGCTTCTTTCAAAGGTCTTGAAGGAGTTGAAAGTGTACTTGGTATGTATCAGAAACTAATTCATACTCTTTTGTGAATATATAAAAATAATGAATCTTAAAATGCTATTCGTTATTCAGTTATTCTCTCCGATTTCATGTAACTTATTGCTGATTAAAAAAATCGCCGATTATTTATACCATGTCATCCAAAATTGACAGGTATTTAACTGATTTATTGATCCTTAATCATGTGTAAGCTTAGTATTTAATTGGCTTTCGGCTATGTTCAGTTTTACTCAGTGAATAATAAGTTATTTTAATTCATTTAGTCAATTATTTATGTCGTCTGCATTCACATATTTACGTCCTAAATATTAACCTTGAAAGACGCTCAGCATGCTAATGAACATATTAGGTTTTGAACCTTATTACCTCATGACACACCTTCTTCTAACGATGGTTGATTTCAAATATTGTCATTTGACAATGTTGTAATGATGGTTTGGGACAATACATGTTCAGTTCAAATTTTCGTTTATCCATGGAAGAACCTGCTTGCTGTTATTTCCCTTTGATTTGTAGCCGACAGGACGATGTCTCTCGGACCCTGGCTAACCCCGGACCCTGGCTAACCCGTACCTTAAATTCGATCGTGGAATACGCTCGTAAAGGCCTAGACTAAAACAATTTTATTAATCATCTTTTGATGATCGTTCAAGATTTTGAAAATTAATATATATAGATGGTGTTAAACTTGGTGAATAGAGTGAAAAAGTTATGTTGATAAAAAGGGGGAGGGGGTCCTACAGAAAGGTATACACAGAAGTGCCACTGGAATAGGTCCTTTTTATTTTGTCAAATATACCAAGGGGATGTAATTTCAACATCTAAAATTAAGTGTAAAATGTAGATGGGCCAGTAATTTTCATTTTACAATTAGCAATATATATATAGCCAGTGAGTGACATTGTGAGTTTAAATCCAGCACGGGGCAGGTGCACTCCAATCCAATGATAATTGACTAAGGATTGGAAATTTCCCTACCTAATGTCGGTTGTTTACGCCAGCTTCATCCACCAATATAAACTGACTTCCACGAAATAGCATGGAGTGTTGAAAGTGGCGTTAAACACCAATCCATTAATCCATCAAAACCAATAGATTTACTAGAAAATTATTTTAAATGGTGCAAAACTGCTTTATAATTGGACAGAAGTTTGTCTTCTGATATAGTTCTGTTACTAGCCATCTCATTTTGGTTGTCATTGATGCATATGGTTTGTCAGGCTAGGTCAATGAAAGCAAAGAAAGACTGGCTAAACAAAAAACCTCTTTAAGTAAGAAAATTTAACAATAGACACACATGACTTCCATTCATGATAATTTATAACAACCACCTTATTATATTTTCTAGTTGACAACTCAGCTGCATTGCCAGAGGAGAGTGCAACAAATTCCCAGGACCTGTTTGATACCCCTCCAAGCCATCCACTGTCCCTATCTGGATCTGATTCCATTCATCAGCCAGTACCAATTCTACCAGCTGTAAATATCCAGGTGCCATGCCCAGCAGCTGCAGTAGTTGAGTTGGGGTCTCTAACAACACAGAAAGCAGTAAATCAAAAGAAGAGGAAAGCAACTGCTGATGATGTTTATGAGCTACAGGTAAAATTTCACAATTGCATTTATTTTAGAAATAATTCAGAATAATTTAGAAACGATTGACATACCATTGTCTTATAATGAATGACTCGGTGGTAGGTTCAAGACTGTCATAACTCGGAAAAATGAAAAGGTAAAATTTAACAACACTAAGAAAAATTGACCTTTTGGGTCCCCATCGATTGGTTTGTATCTATAGACAATGATGTGAGACCGTGAATCGATCTTAAATTACACTTAATCAACATTTCATTTTCAGATGTTGCAATCTTCATCTTTATGAAAATCTTCCAATATAATTAATTTAAATTTATGGGCTTCCAGCCTCTGGACAAAGCATATGTCCAACAGATCATACACTATATCTGGAACTCTCAATTTCATGCAAAACTTCTGTAAATTCCACAAGAGTTGTAAGGTATACAGACACATATAAAGATATACCGGTATGTTAAAAATATATAGATTTACATGTATCATTTTCATTTCAGATACTGTATTTGAAGGGAGAAATGGCAAAGCAGACTAAAGAGATGAGGAAATTAGATCTTCAGATAGAGTTGCTGGAAGAAATGAAACGAGACAAAGAGAATACTCCACTAACATTTTCTCAACTTTTAATGAATTAAATTATTTATTTTTCTTATCAATCAACAATTATTTTCCCAAAAAAATGCATGTGTACGGTACCAAGTCACAAATGATGTTTAGGACTCAATTTCTTCGTTCAATAATATTTTGCTTTTTTTTTATTTTGATTTGATATATATACCACTTTTGAGTCTCGTGTTATTTTTTGGTGTATTCGAGACAACTGAATTTTACAATTTGTATGTTATGTTGTTTTTTTTTAATTCTGGCTATGCATTTTTGCGCCTGTCCCAAGTCAGGAGCCTCTGGCCTTTGTTAGTCTTGTATGTTTTTTAATTTTAGTTCATTTATATGTTTTGGAGTTTAGTGTGACGTCCATTTTCACTGAACTAGTACACAATTTTATTTAGGGGCCAGCTGAGGACCACCTCCGGGTGCAGGATTTTCTCGCTGCGTTGAAGACCCATTGGTGGCCTTCGGCTGTTGTCTGCTCTTTGGTCGGGTTGTTGTCTCTTTGACATATTCCCCATTTCCATTCTAAATTTTATTGGAAATGTTTATATTTTGGCACTGTGTTCTGACCTTGGATTTGATCACTCTATTTTTATAAGGGCCATTCATTTTGATCGTTTGCTTTACATCCAGTGGCAAATATTTCATGCATGTTCATGATGAGAACAAATTAACAAAGAGTACAATAGGTATGATCAGACCCCTCACAAGTTTTTGTAAGGGCTCTTATAATATCTTAGCGTTACACTATTTCCACACAATGCAATCAGATTTTACATCCCCTTTCTAACCGGATGTGCCCGCGTATTTACACATCCAACAGTCTATGGAAGACCCACTTTGCGGCAAGGGTTTTACTGATTGGACGAACAAAGTCCAAAGGATGACCTTAAATCTATACCTTAATCCTTAGGGTAAGATATCATTCAGAGTAGAATTAACAAGGAGATGATGTGTAAAAAAGATGTTGACGACGGACACCTAGTAGTGCCAATATCTCACATTACCGTAAATGTAATATGATCTCATAATTTGCTTTCAATTCAACATGTCAAATGCATGTGTTTTGAGAAAACATAACTTGTATTATTTATCACAATTTTATATTGGATGAAAAATAAAGACTCTTTTGTGTTCAAAACATGTATTTCAGTTGAAGAAAACTCTTGCGATATGCTCTCTAATGTGTCTACCATCCTGTTCTCCTTCAAAATGCGGAACTTCCACTGGCTGGTCTTGCTGAACATGTACACCAAAAACATCATCCAAAGGTTCATTCCTTGTTAAAGCTATGTTATGTAGAACAGCACAAGCACCAAAGACTCGACAGACTTTTTCTGGTTTCATTCTGACCTGAAATTTAAAAACATAATTATGGGCATGAAGAGTTAATTTTTAATTCGGATATCTTTCACTTGGAAAAAAATACTGTTTCGGAAGTGTATTCTCTTCTACAATTGTCTCCATGTTAATGACTTTTATTCATTGCATTCTAAAATAAAATGCTCCGCTGGGCGCAGCTTGATACGACCGCAGAGGTCGAACCCTGAACAGTTGGGCCAAGTATGGACACAACTGAATTTGGATTGTGATTAAATATTTGACACAGCATAGGTTTCTGACACAGAATGAATGTGGTCTAAGAACTTAAAAATTTTTAATTTACCTATTCAAACCATATCATTATTATTTGCTTTTATATATAAATCAGAAATAACCAATTTAAAATGGAAAATTTCAAAGAAAAAAAAAAGGAAAAAAAAGGGAAAAAAAATCCCTCCCCCAAATTTTTTGAACCCCCTTATGATTCATCATCCCCAAACTCAATCCCAGCCTTCACTTTGTGGTATGGTACCCTGCAGTACAATTTCAGAGAGATCCATACACTTGAACACAAGTTATTGTCTGGAAACTAGAAAAATACTTATTTTTGGCCCCTTTTTGGCCCTTTATTCCAAAACGTTTTGGGCAATTACCCCCAAACTTAATTCCAGCTTTTCCTTTGTGATATGGAACCTTGTAGTACAATTTCAGAAAGATCCATACACTTACACACAAGTTATTGTCATGAAACTAGTAAAATGCTTGTTTTTTGCCCCTTTTTTGGCCCCTAATTTCTAAAATTTTGAGGCAATTACCCCCAAAATCAATCCCAGCATTCCCTTTGTGATATGGAACCTTGTGGTACAATGTCAGAGAGATCCATGTCTGGAAGTTACAAAAATGCTTATTTTTGGCCCCTTTTTGGCCCCTAATTCCTTAACTGTTGGTACCATAACCCCCAAAATCAATCCCAACCTTCCTTTTGTGGTATTGAACCTTATGGTAAAATTTCATAGAGATCAATTCATTTAAACTAAAGTTAGAGTGCGATAATCAATGTGTCTTCGGACGACGACGACGACGCCAACGTCATACCAATATACGACCGCAAAAACAATGGTTACTTTAATAGCAGGTTCACTATTGACAATCTTTAATTCATATGAACTGTGCGCCTTTCTGCAACAATTGTCTCTAGTTTTAGGGAGCTATCATTTGATTTTTTTGGGGGGAGGGGGGCTTGTATGAAATTTAAAAAAAAAGGCAGGACAGGAGTTTTGAGGAAAAAAAAGGCAGAATGACAATTTATGTAAAAATAAGTGTGAAAAATAAAAAGGCAGGACAGAGATCACAACTAAAAGAAAAAGACAGGACAATTTTTTTTTCATCCTAGCCTCCCCCCCCCCCTAAAAATTAAATGGTAGCTCCCTTAGTGTCTACTTGTCCTTTTCATAATAAGTTTCTTTTTTGTGTCCCTTTTTTCTCTATATATTTTCTTTCTTCTCGATTGAAGTTTTCTTGCATTTGTTGTACAAAACTGCTGAGGTTATTTAACTGTTATAGCTCTGCATCATAAGGGGTGTTTTTAAAGATGATTCGTATATATATTATTTGTACATAAATCTGGAAGTTACTTATCTCGTTTGAATTGTTTAACATTTGTCATTTTTGGGCCTTTTACAGCTGACTATGTGGCGTGGATTATCTCATTGTTGAAGGCCGTACGGTTACCTATAGATGTTAACTTCTATGTAATTTGGTCTCTGGTTTTGAGTATTCTCATTGGCAATCATACCACATATTTTTATTTCAATATATTTTAAGTATTCTATAATTATTCTTACCTCGGAGTGCAAAACATGAAATCTTCTCTTTAAGATTCCAAAAGCCCTTTCAATAATGGATCTTGTGCTGGAGTGTGCTCTATTAAATCTTTGCTGGTGTCTTTCTCTGGGATTTGGATAGGGTGTCATGAGAAAAGGGCGACATGCATACCCGCTATCTCCGAGGATCAAACCGTCTGCAAGTCCTCTGTTGTTTGTCTCCAGGTAATGACACAGGTTTGAGGTGTTGAAGATGTGGGAATCATGGGTTGACCCTGGCCAGTTAGCAGATATATTGGTAAACTTCCCTGAAAATATATTAAACTACTTTAATTTTATGAGGAGTACTTATTTAATGTTACAGTTAACTGCAGCTTGAATAAAGGTCAGTCTATTGTTACTTGTGACAAATAGCGAAGGAAACGTACGTATTTTTTTTTCCTGAAAACAATTTTGAACATACATAAATTATAAAATTATTGAATATACTGATAGGTTCAATCAGAGACATATAATATATGTCTCTGGTTCAATCAAATCATCATGGAATAAAAGTTAAACGTACAAAAAAATTACAACAGTAATATGCTTTCATTTATAAACATTGTATAGATTAGAAATAGTACATATGATTTAAGTGGCACATGAAACAGTGTTTTGGGTCCCCTCACAGGTGCGCGTTCTAATTGAAAAAGATAACATACAATGCCCCCACCCCAACCCCAAAGCCCAACTATGATTTATAAATTGTATAAGCACTAAGGCCCCATTTTTTAATATTACTCAAAAACTTTTCAACGTACAAATGTATTTATACATATTTTTTCTGCTGATGAGGGTATAGTTTAACAAAAGAGCTTTGAACGTACAAATTAAAAAAAAATCCGTTATTTTTATTTATTGAGGGGTGTTCCACGGGTCCCTGATTCACACTTCCTTACCCCCTTACTCCTGGACAAAAATCGATCGAAATTTTTTCCCATGTTCCCTCACCCTGTCCCCCCCCCCATCTTTATTAGCCTCAGATTCCGATATCTGCATCGCCTTTTAATGCAAAATATGCAGATGAACATTTGGGGTGAGGGTCGTCATTTTACAACTCCATTTAAGGAATAAGCGTTCTAAATTTAGTTATCGTGGTCATCGTCGATCGATCACTGGTAATATTTGGGTCGTATAACATCGAGGGCCGAGTTGATCGTTTACTGACGAGAAAGATTAAGGGAGATAATAATTCTGGGAAAACAAATAAACAGACGAAGAGGAGATCAGAGATACACTAGATTACTAAATAAATAAGTACCTTCGTAATCACACACAGCCTGCACGTTCACACTATGGTACCCCTTCCTGTTGACAAAAGCTGCCTCGTCCTCTGATGGTCCTTGTATCTTGACGTGCGTGCAATCAATGCATCCCAAAACATTTGGAAAGTTCATTTGTCTGTGGAAACCACACTTCATTCTGTTTATAGAATTAATGTCTTTTGGCCACTGGATAAAGTTGTCTTTAACATCGAGCAAAGCATTAGTTACATCATTTACTGCTCTAGATACAGTTGCTTTATCGTACCCCATCGTATCTCCAATCACTTGTAAGAATGACCCAGAGGCATAAAACCTTAAGGCTATGCATACTTGTTGTTCCACTGTTAAAGCAGTTTCCTTTGTTGTGGATCTCCTCAATTTATCTCCCACAATATTACATATGTAGGCTATAGAGTCTCTTCCAAACCTATATCTTGTCCTCATTTCAGTATCTGTCAAATTATTTAGATGAGAAACCATTCCTCTGAAGATTCTCTCTTTTCTTTGCCTAGGTACCATCAACAGAGCAGCCATTTTATAAATTATAACCCTTCGTTAAGTATTTAACGAAGGTCTATAGCAGCGTTAGATTTTATAGAAGTTAACGACAGTTTAACGTTGCGTTAAATTTAACGTAAAGATGAACAACAGGTTTAACCATGCGTTAAATTTTAACGATGCGTTAGCATATTTTAACGACAGCGTTAGACTTAACGACAAGTTGAACAACCGGCCCCTGGTGGATTATTAGTTCCCGAGAGTATCGGCAACTCAGTAGTCAGTGCTCCGGTGCTGACATGACTTAAAACAAACTTATCTTGAGTTCTCCGTTGGTAAATTCAAAAATCATTAAGAATGATTATTAACATACACCAAAATCTGGATCTTCAACTCAAATGTGAAATCTATACTTCTCTATAGGTCAAAAATTTGGACACTCAAAGCTGTGTCTCCCAAACCTTACAAGTTTTCATGAACAGGTGCCTAAGAAACATTATTGAAATAAAGTGGCCAAACACCATTTGCAACACAGAAAAGGACAAGACAAGAACCAATAGAACTGACGATTACAACACGTAGATGGAGATGGATTGGACACACAAACATAACTAGTCAGGCGTTGGATTGGAATCCACAGGGCCTCGTAAAAGAGGGTAATCAAAAACCGCTGGCGCAGAGATCTAACTTCTAATTTACAGAAAATCGTGAAAACATGGAGAGAAACTAAGAAACTAGAAATTAAGTTAACTCCAGCAGGTAAAGTGGATCTTAGGGGAATATGGCTTTTTTAAAGGTATCTTTTATCATATAGCTATTCACATGTTAAGGACGTATACATCATTGGCTTTTAAATGTTGGGGTATCAGCTTTACTGCTGAACGTAAATCTACAAAATTAATAAAGTGTTATGTAATGTTCTTGTTTCTTATCAAACAACATCTGTAGATGATCAGTGCGGTATAATTTGTTTTTCGTAAAGGTTCCAAACATTTGTTCGAAATGGGCGAATATACATGTGTGGACGGTAATGTTCCTTTGGCAACATCTTACGGTTTTTATATACCCAGACTTGTTCGCTATGCATATGCCAGTAGTACCGTTTTGAATTTCACTGACCGTAATCAATGTATTAGTGGTAAATTATTAAGTCGTTACCACAAATTACTTAAAACCTTTAATAAATTAGTTCATAGATACGAAAATTAAGTTGGGAAGTTTGACGGTACTATTGGAAATCCATTGGAAGTTGGATGTGTACTGATTGATATTTAAGTCTTAGATACATGTACATGATTTTTTGATTGGATGTTTTTGGCTTTGAACTATCTTTCAGTACCTGCGAGTACTCCCAGATTTGTACTTTGTGTCTTTTGTGTTTTTGTTAGTTGTGTTTTTGTGTTTTGCATCGATGCGATGAGTTAATCCCTTTTCGACTGATTTATATAGTGTGTTCTTATATTGTCCTATCACCTGGTGGAATGTAAATCTCCACAGATATTACCAGCTCTGTTGCCTGTGACTCATTTCACAAATACACCTAACAGGAAAATATTGTACGTCATTTTAGTAGAACTTACGATCATTTTTTTGTCGTAAGATATTTTGAGAAAAGAGCCCCAGCACATCGGTACTGGCATGCAAATACTGATATTGTTTTATTAAAATTTGCTGTTATAAAATAATGAAATGATTCTAAATTAGGGAATGCATTTCTCTCATGCACAGCTCTGATTGCTTGTCTTGCTTGACTTTACTTTTGGTACTTTTTTGGTTTTATAAGCTCTTCAAACTTTGTATTAGGTTTTGAATTTTCAAATATTTAATGTTATCATAATATGAGGATTTATTCTCTTATATCTTGGTTATATCAAATGAAACACTCAATCAACTTAACTTGTTGTATATACTTAACAAAACAGTTGTAGATCCTTATATTAGAAGTGCTTTAAGACTTGGAAATACCACTGGCAATACATTAGTTTATTAAATAATAATTTGTCTGTGGTTTTAAAAGATATGCTTTGTATAATAACAGTATCGTTTAGATAAAAATGATTTGTTAAAAATTAGGCCGTTAGTTTTCTCAATTGAATTGATTCATATTTTTCATGTCGAGGTTATTTATAGTAATACCTGACCATACGGTATGGGTTTTTCTCATTGTTGAAGGCCGTACTGTTGCCTATAATTGCTTACATCCACTTCATTTGAACTGTGGTGGATAGTTGTCTCATTGGCAATCATACCACATCTCCTTTTTTTTACATTGATATGTGATCACCATCTAACCAAGACATTGCTCTTCTTTTTAACCCTGGTTTCCCTGATGAAAATCTGTTTGATAATTGATTATCATCTGACCCAAATTTTGCTCTTTTTTTAATCCTGGTTTCCCCTTATAGTAATGTGTTTGATGTTTGATTATCATCTGACCAAGACACTGCTCTTCCTTTCAACCCCGGTTTCCTCCATATATATGAGTTTGATATTCAATCATCATCTGACCACGACAATGCTCTTCCTTTTAACCCCGATTTCCCTCATAGTAATTTGTTTGATATGTGATCATCATCTGACCAAGACACTGCTCTTCCTTTAAACCCAGTTTCCCTCATCCCTCATAGTAATTTACTTAATATGTGATCATCATATGACTAAGGCACTGCTCTTCCTTTTAACCCCGGTTTCCCTCATAGTAATGTGTTTGATGTGTAATCATCATCTGACCAAAACACTGCCCTTCCTTTAACCCCGGTTTCCCTCATAATAATTAGTTTGATATGTCAGATCGTCATCTGACTAAGACACTGCTCTTCCTTTTACCCCTGTTTCCCTCATAGTAATGTGTTTGATATGTGATCATCATAAAAATTATGACGAAGACACTGCTCTTCCTTTAAACCCGGTTTTCCTCATAGTAATGTGATCATCATCTGACCAAGACACTGTCCTTGCTTTAGACTCCGGTTTCCCTCATAGTAACGTGTTGATTGTTTGATCATCATCTGACCTACACATTGCTCTTCCTGTTAACCCCAGTTTTCCTTATAGCTATATATTGAATGTTAGATCTTCATCTGAATCAAACTCCGATTTCCCCAATAGTGATGTGCTGCGTGGGTGTTAAAGAATTGTTATTTGCGAGCGCTGCATTTTTTGGTTTTCCTTTTGTTAATGGAGTAACGAATAGATATGATCAAAAATAAAAGTAGCCATTTAATAGAAAGAAGTACACAAAAAAAAAAAAAAAAACTCCCACAAAAAACCAAGAAAACTCCTATTCCCAAAACACCAATTTTTGAGGCTTTACAACACCGATACTTTATGGATTGTATTTATGTATTCTTGTCTTTATACATAACGAATTTATTAATATAATATGTTTACACTAAGAATCACACAATATTTATCAAAGACAAAACTAAATTCATATTGTTTAAATTTCCTCTAGACACTTTCTTGGTATATCATTTGAATCAGACTATAGTATAATATATAAGTTGTTTTATTATAATGTCCTAAAATGCAAATTTTTCTATGTGTGGAGCATGACGTATTTATAGATATAATGATTTTTTTCTTTTTTTCCTCAGAGAATGTTTCATCATAACTATTCATATCGTATCATGAATACTTTCAACACCTACGAGAACAATAATTTGACTGGTTTCCGTGAACATTTGTAAAGTTATTCAATATTGATAACTGGTCCTTTTGGTGTTGTTGACGGTGTTGGTGGTTGCGTGGGTTTTGGTGTCGGTGTTGGTGGTGGCGGTGCTGGTGTTGTGATACAAGAGTAGCATATGAGTGAACAATGGTACTTCGGTTTCGACCAGCCCCAATAACGCGCAGTAAACTGCACTACATTTGTTCCTGAGGATAAATTATCGTTGTTTCTAATGGAAAATCCTCGTTTAAAGAATCTATGGCGCGTTACACTGAACTGCCCTGCAACCTACAAAACAATTACAATATGAGAACCGAAAATAGAAATGAATAAACAACGTTTATAATTTCCAATAAAGAGGACTATAAATTTCAATTATTGTTTTGATTAACAGCTGCTAAATTTATAGCTTTTATGATATGATGGAACCAGGCTGTTTTCTCTGGTAGTTTCATCACTTAACTGTATATAATATGTAGTCATCACTTGTTGAATTGAAGGAATGATCATAAACGGACGGTTTATGTCTTCTTGGACATTATTTTCACTCAAAAGCTTGAATGAATTAAGCTTAAACAAAATGATTCCTAAAATGTCAGCTCAAATTTAGCGAATAAAACTATTTCCAACGTTTGAAAAATGTGAACGACGTCTCCCGACAAATTCAAAATATGTGTCTACAATTTGATAAGCACGACTTTGACGAACAAACCAAAAACACAATAAGAGGACACTTTTTTTTCGAGTTATAACACTTAAAAATACAATTTAGCATTTTCTAACGAAATATTTTGTTTATGATTAGGTTTCTATATTACGTCAACATAAACAAGCCTAGTAACAACTGGACACTTGGAATTCATTTTTTTCGCGTTAAAAATTACATTTAGGTTCAACCTATGCTAAAAGTTATCTTTAAAGACATCAATAATTTTGTCAAACCTTCATGGAATTTTATCAAATTGTGATAGAAGCTAGTACGGTGATGTATTTTTAACTCTTACTCCGTTTATCATATGCTCATAAAATAATTTTTAAATTCAGAAACAATAGACTGTCATATTTATATACAACATATGTTCATTGTCGGAAAATATAAAATGTATTTGTACGAACTTTCGAAACATGACGAAAAGCGAGGCTCGCCGATAATATAAAGGTTAATTTTGTACGTACAAGATTTACACATTTCTGAACCAAACTGCATCTTTATGACAATCTAAGAACCTTTACTCTTAGTCTGTATGACATTAGTTTTGTAAAAGACTGAAGTCATGTCATCAAATTTTATATAACTTCGACAAGGTTAGAAACATGTTTAGCTAATATTGAACCACTTAAAGTGTACAAGGATGTTTTTTTTCTTTAAAGTTTTTATGTTTGCATGCATTGTACATCAAAGTCACTTTCTATCAGTAGATTATCTCAAATGACTAATTTTCGTCCTTGTTTGTATATTTTCGGTTTGTGTGCATTGTATCTTTGATTTCTTATTCTGACATTAAATGTTTTACTTTAAGTGTGATGTAAGGTAAATTCAAAAAGTAACTGCGCTTTTCCTTTGTTTT